TTACGTGGTTTAAGTGTTTAATAATAAATGTTTAAAAGAAACGAAAGATATAACTGGAAAATTAATTAGTGACGTTGGAGATACTTTTAGAATTTTGAGATGGAGGGTGCTGCATAATTCACATTAATGTCATTTTTAATGAGGCTATATTCAGGACGAGATGAGCCGCTTTCAGATCTCAGCCCTGCAGGACTCTGACTTTGTGACCTTGGGCAAGTCACACGGCTTCTCGACTCAGTCCAGCCACGCTGCAGAGATTTATTAATACGTTGGCCCTGGCCCTGGCCCTACGTCGTGCCAGGCCTTGTGCCGGGAGCTAAGAACACAAATGTGAACCAAAGCCTCTGTCCTTGAAGGGCTGATGCTAATTAGACCTGCGTCCCAAAGAGCTGGGTGAGTGTGAAGACCAGGAATAGGTGTGAATGTGCACACCTTAAAGACTGTAAACATGTAAAGCAGTAACGAGGCTAATAGCTTTTGTTAACATTAATAATAGGTGCCCTGAAAGGGGTGTAAAGGAAATGTGACCAGCAGTGTCTCTGTATTGTAGAGAGACTCTAACCACGTCCTTCTTCCAAACTTTCTCCTTATCCTGCACGCCCTGTGCACACACCTGGCACCCCGTGCACCCAGCCACTCGACCCGGGAGTCCACAACAGACTCTTGTCCCCTCACTCCCACAGCCAGCTGGTCTCTAGCAGGCAGGACTCTTTCACTTGCAGGGGACAGAAGGCCGAGCTAAATCCAGCCTAAACAAAACGGGCTTTTATAGGTGCTTGTCGGCGAGGAGTCCCGCAGCAGGGCAGGCTTAATCAAGGCTTGATACGGCACTCAGATGACACCACCGGACCCGGTTTCTCGCTCAGTTCTAGATCTCTTCCTCTACCGTCCTCCATCCGCGTGAGCTCTTCTCTCAAACACCCCCTCCCCACCACCATGGCTCCAAGACGGCTGCAGCAGCAGCTCTAGACCTCATGTCCTCTCACATTCGAGAACAACAGGGAAGAATAAGTCTTTTGCCCAGAAGGTTCAATACCATTTTTTTTGGCTGTGATAAATAGTAGGTCACCAATCACTGTGGCCCAGGGGCATGGGACTGAGTGAGTAGTTGAGGCCTGGGTCACAGGGTCATACTAACTGGGGGCGGGCAGGAACCTGCAGCAGAAACACAGCAGACGCGTGCGGGACAGCTGAGGAACAACAGAACAGAGCTGCCGACTGTATTCCTGCAGTCCTATCACTTCCCCCTTCATCAGCTCTCCTGTCTGTGTCACTGTCCTGCCCCGGCGTGGTGCAGGGGCCCCGCAGCACCCTCCCTCAGTCTCCTGTCCACCCTCCACACTGCTCCCGAGGGTTCTTCCTGAATGCAGGTAGCCCTTGGCCTCCCTCCTCTTGAAATCGTCAGTGGTTCCTGTTGCCTGTAGAAGAGTCTAGACCAGAAGTTGGCAAACTACAGCCCATGGGGCAAAACGGATCTACCACCCGTTTTTGTGTGGCCCGTGAGCTAACAATGGTTTTCACGTTCTTAAACAGTTGAGAAAAAACATGAATATTTCACGACATGCAGAAATTATACGGGATTTAAATTTCAGCGTCCGTAAACAAAGCCTTATTGGAACACAGCCACGCTCATTTGTATACATGTGGTCTGTGGATGCTTTGGCACTACAACAACGAACTGAATGGCTGCAAAAGCAACGGTACAGCCCGCAGAGCCTCAAACATTTACTCTCTGACCAGTTCGTGAGTCCTGGTCTAGACTCGTTAGTGAGGTGCTTCAACGATCTGGCACTCGGATGCAGCTGCTCTGCCGTCCTCGCAGATTCCTGAATGTTCCCCCAACCCCTGCGTACCTCGGTGCTCGCTCTTGTCTGTGTCTGCCTGGTGAACCGTATCTGGTCTATCAGGACTCAGCTCAAGCATCAACCCTCTTAAACCTTTTTCCTTTAGCAAGGAGAAATTGCCTTCATACTCCTTTCTGTCCCCACTGTAACCTGCTTATGCTGCTTTTGTGGCTCTTAAAATTTGTAACGTTTGTATATTTCCAATATATTTCCAATACATCACAGTCTCTACTTAACTAAACCTTTAAGAGCATTCAGCTAACCACATCCAGTGAAGCCCTTGCTGTACTTTAAGCCCTGTGCCAGGCACAGGAATATATCTCTGAACAAGAACTTTCTCATCTCATATCCCAGCACTTAAATCTGTTTGGAACGTAGTAGGTGCACAATAAAGGTTGGCTGAACAGATAAGTGGGAGAGCAGGGTCTTGGAAGCCACTCAGGAGCCATGTACATCTTCAAGTCATCACACAGTAAGCCGTGCCTTCAGCTCCAAGACATTTCACTGGTTATCTTTGAGGCTCCTTTTGCGGGACCAGGATGAGGGGGAAGGCTGGGGAGGGAAGGTTGGCATCTGGCCTTGACTTCCTCTAGCCCTCAAGAATGTTTTCGCTGCTGCTGTTCCCTCTGCTGCCACAGTAACAATTAAATAAATTGAATAGATCATAAAAGTGACTGTGGAGTACTCTGCAGATATGAAGTGGCATAGAAAAGTGAAATAATGCTCACACAATGAAATGCAAGGGCATAAATAATGAAAATATGTTGCATTCAGCAAGATCAGCGCTGCTGTACCTAGGAACTTCTGCCTTACCAACCTTTGAATTCGTTCATTTGCCTTGAAGCTGTTGTTTTGCTTCCTGAGCTCTGCCTTGGGTTTCCCCTGACTGCCCTTCTCCCCTTGCCCTTCAGATGCTCAACCTGTTCGTGGCTGTCATCATGGACAACTTTGAGTACCTGACGCGGGACTCCTCCATCCTGGGCCCTCACCACTTGGATGAGTTTGTCCGTGTCTGGGCAGAGTACGACAGAGCGGCATGGTACGTAGGCCTCTCGGCCACCCTAGCAGGGGCCCAGGGCGAGGGCCTCTGCAGTTCTCAGGGAAGAGGTTGGAATTAATTGGAGCCACCCAGATGCCTTCCTGTTACCGAGGGAAATGAGATTCCTCTTAGGCGTGGCCCGTGGAAGAGGCTCTGGTATCCGGCCGGTCACCAAACACTTCCCTTTATCTTCCTTTGCCCACTCGTTCCTTCTGTGATGGGTTTTCCTTTATTTGCCAATCTAATCACCCAGTCCTTTCCCCAGACTGTTTGGGTTCAACCATAAGAAGAGCTTCCAATAATCTTTCTTTTTCTTTTCCTGCCAATCGTTAGTGGACTCCTTTGAGTTACCAGGGGGATTTGATAAGGGCTTTTCTTGCCAGCTGGATGTCTGTCCTCCATAGTCAGTGACTATTGGTGTTTTATCTCTGTCATCCCTCTCCACAGACATAGTTGGACGTAACTCAGAAATCATTTTTTAAAAAAACCAAGCACGCCGGGCGCGGTGGCTCACGCCTGTAATCCTAGCACTCTGGGAGGCCGAGGCGGGAGGATTGTTTGAACTCAGGAGTTCGAGACCAGCCTGAGCAAGAGCGAGACCCCGTCTCTACTAAAATAAAAAAATAGAAATTATCTGGACAACTAAAAATATATATAGAAAAATTAGCCGGGCATGGTGGTACATGCCTGTAGGCCCAGCTACTCGGGAGGCTGAGGCAGGAGGATCGCTTGAGCCCAGGAGTTTGAGGTTGCTGTGAGCTAGGCTGATGCCACGGCACTCACTCTAGCCAAGACAACGGAGTGAGACTCTGTCTCAGAAAATAAATAAATAAATAAAATAAAATTAAAAAAACCAAGCAGGTTGTTCTTTCAACTGTTCCCTTAAACACATGGATTTTTATTACACAGAACTGATTTAAATGGCAGGAATTGGTGGAGATAACCACCTTACTATCTCTTTCACTGTCTAATAGTTCTGAAGTGATGTTGTGCCTTCTGGGCTTTAGAGCAGGGGTTGGCAAACTACAGCCCATAGGCTAAATTTGGCCCACTGTCCGTGTTAGCAAATAAAGTTTTATTGGAACACAGTTACAAGCATTCATCTATGTATTGTCTCAGGCTGCTTTCACACTACAAGGGAGAGTTAAATGGTTGTGACAGAGATGATATGGCCTTCGAATTTAAAAATATTTGCTACTGAGATATTTTATTGTCAAAAAAGTTGCTAACCCCTGCTTCAGAGTACAAAGGCAGCCTTTTGGCCCTTTATGGTTGAAGACAGGGTGATAATTCTATGAAAGCTCACTCCAGAGGAATTTTTCTGTCCCAGGTCATCTTAGCTTTTGGGTCTTAACTCACCAATATATCCATGCTGTTCCCCCTCTGAAAATACTACAGGAAATATTGTCCTTCACAGGAATGGGCCACGTTGCTTCCACCTGGAACCCCCTTCCTAATCTGAAACTCTAACCAAAATCTATCTTCCTATCTGGCTGTTAAACTTGGGTCCCTGTTTTAGGGACTGAAAGGGTGAAACACAATTTCTCTTCCCCTCAGTAATTATGAATGATTTAGGGAATAGACTTATCGAAATCTAAATCCATTCCTGTTACAATGGCTGAGCAACAGCTTTAATTTCTGGGCGTATTTCTAGTAGATCGCTCTTAGAAAGCAGGGGTGGGGTATTAGAGGAAAATGCAGCCAGGCTTGCGCTACAGTTCCGTGGCCTTAGAAAAGTCATTTAACTACTCTGAGCTTCCTCATCTTTAAACTGGTGATGATAATACCTACCTAGCTTGAAGGGTAGTCGTGAGAATGATATTAAATCACTCGTATAACTATTGTTGTAATTGGAAATAACTACATGGGAACGCACTTGGAATGTATGGAAAATCAGCATCTGTAGAGTATGGACGGCCACGGAAGCATAAGAAGTGGCTTCACCTTCCTGAGAGAGGAGAAACCAACTGCGAGCAAAGGAGTTCATTGCTCATCTAGCCTCACTCAGGTGTCCTTGGCTGTCAGGAACCCCCACTTCCTATGGTCTCACTCATCTTGGGATCCAGATGCCATGTGCATTAAAACATGCTCCTCCCCATTCATTCCAGCTGCTGGGAAGAAAAGATTCCATGAGGACTAATCACGAGACCCAGACATACGAAAACTGGGAAAGCGCAAAAAGGCAAATCAGACTCTCTTCTGTACGCTCTGAAATTCACAGTGTAACTCGTTCTGCTTAGAGTTTCATTGGCTGTGTCTGTGTGATAACAGGGGGAGGGGACTCAGAAAAGTAAAGTGAGCCGACGTCTTCAAAAAGAGGACTGATAAAGGTTGCAAAAAGCATCAGCCTGTAGCCACTACCAACTCACCTGCTTCCCACCTCCCTAAGAGGCAAGATAAAAGACCAAATGGCTGAGTTACCTCCCCTGAAGAGTCGAGAGACTTGGAGGTACTGATGAGCTGCTATCTGGAAAAATAGGAGGCATCAACTCTCAAATCTAAAAAAAGCTAGAAAGAGTGAAGCTGGGATGAAATGCTATTCTCGATGTGGCTGCCACCAGGGCCCAAATGCTCAGAGGTGGAGACACCGTGTTTGTAATTTCCAGTGGAAACCCTGGTCTATACCAGGGTGAATCCAGACCTGCAGGTCGCTGGCCATTGCTTCCTGTTTCTGGTGCCTGATGTGGAAGATGCTTTAGCCACTGAAAATGAATCAATTGTTAATTCTGTCCCTTCCGCAGAAAGCCAGAACTCTTTAGCAGGCTCTTAGGAAAAGGGGTGTTTGTAAGATAGTCCCATTGTTCCTGGAATGTTGGCTGGATCCAACCAAGCTGCTGTGGGCTGGGCAGCAGGGCCCTAGAAGAGAATGTCCCCCAGCTCCATCCCCAGCTGCTCTCTGAACACAGATCCCAGCAGGCTCCCACCGAGCAGAGAAGACTTGCCCAAGCTGAACTTGAGAAAAAGCTGTCACAAAGAGAAGCAAAGCCCTCTGCAAATTCCCTCATGCCGACTGTGCTCCTTGCTCATTAGCCTAATGGGAAATTTGTCTCTTGCAGTCTGCAAAAAGCCACTGACTTCTTTCTGCCCCTGATAAGCGGGTCTGAGTAACTGGCTGTAATCAGTGTCTGTGAAAAGCAAACCACCTGCAACCCACTCATGGCAGCCTGGCACCTGCTCTGGACAGCGGTCAGAGTCATTGTGAATTGGCAGGCTTTGTTCTTAGAAGCTGAGCCAGAGCCAGGGCTGTGGCTGCACCTGGCCAGGTATGGGCCAGACAGGTATCTCAGGGTGCTCTTGGTCGTAGGCAGTTCCTTTTGGCAGTAGATGGGCTCTTATTTCCTTAGGAAATTGGGACAAAGCAGTTTGGCCAGGTGATGGTTCTCTGGTGATCACTGTTCTCATTCTCTCCGGGCCTAAGGATAGAAGCTGCTCTTACCTCTTCCAGCCATCCCCTTCATGGCTAAGCTGTCATTTCTTTCCCACCCTTCTCTGAGTGTCCTATTAACCCACCTGTGCTTCCTTTACAGCGGCAGGATCCCGTATAAGGATATGTACAAATTAGTGCGGGTGATCTCGCCGCCTCTGGGCCTGGGAGAGAACTGCCCTTACAGGGTGGCTTGCAAGGTTTGCCCCCCAGCCCCCAGCCGCGACCCGCCACGGGGTGCAACACCTCACCCCTCTGCTCTGTCCTCTGCTCCACCACCGCTGTGCCACAGGAAGGAACCTTCATGTTGCTTTCTTTTGAGTTTAAAGAGGTCCAGACCCTTCTAGAACCAGCAGCTGTTAACATAAGGAAGAAGGGCACATTTGGGGGAGAAGGCCAGAAAAGAGTTGAGGACTTACCATGAAGACCAGTTTGATCTCTCTCACTTTTCTTCACGTGCGTGCACGCGCGCGCGCACACACACACACACACACGCACACTCACACTCTCTCTCCAGTCCACTTTAGTCTGTGCATTTAACCAGAGGGACCACTCCATCCTCTACAGAGGCAGAAATCTTTTGAATCCAGCAAACAGTTCTGACAGGGAAGCCTCATTATTGCCGGATAGCACCGCCATCCCATATATGACGTATCGCAGTGTGATTCCAGTGATCCCTACCGCTGCCCACCCTCCCAGCGCCTGTAGAGTTTGGCCAGAAGTGACTATAAAAGCTAAAGGACAGAAAGGAGGTGAAAAATAATAAAGAACTGGGGCTGGGGCAAGAGGTGAGAGTAGGTAAAAGAGGCATGGATTTGGTGGTGTGTGGAAGAATGTAGTAGCTCAGGGGGTCTGGGAAGGTCTCCACAGATAAAAAAGGGTTACTGAGCAGATCCTTTGCCTGAAGGTCCTGCCACATGTTGGCATGAAGGGCTGGGGGAGGGGCTGTCACAATCACCAAGGAACTTCTTGTTGGTTAGACCGAGGATATTGTTCCGGGGCATACAGGACCTCCCTTTTCAACTCTGCTGTACCCCGGAACACTCTCTATCCCGGTGGCTCTGCTAAGCCCCGGTCCGAGGCCAAGCCTGTTAGATAAGGAACTCTCTCCTGGTGCCAGTGGAGGGAAGCGTGGGCTCCCTGGGACACACAGCCCTGCCCAGGCAGCTGGAGGAGGACATAGGCCCAGGCAGGATGCTGGCCTGGGGGATGGGACGGAGTTGGCCTGGAATGGTGACTCAGGGTTTCCATACTCAGGAGGCTGAACGGCTACCTCTGCTGAGACTCTTTAAACTCCACCCTGGTGAATCCTGCAGCCGCATGTGGGAGAGCTGGGGAGGGCAGCATGGCATGCGAGATGCTCTTTCTCCTCCTGGTTTTGTTCCTTCTGTCCCCAGCATGCCATCAACCTGGCGCATGCTGGGGCATAAAGAGCCCTCTTGTCTACAGAGCCAGGTGGAAGCAACGGGCCGACTCTGACCAGCAAGCACAGTCCACCACTCCCAGTGTGAGACGCCGCCTCCTGCTGCACACACGCCACGGAGGGGGGATACACGACGTTCCACCTGTGGGTTCGAGGGAGGAGCAGAGCCTGACCACCAGGCCGGACGTTCCAACCCATGGCTGGAGCACCGTCTATCCGGTTTATACCGCCCACGCACAGCCCTGGGACTTGAAAACAAGCTGGGTTATGCTGGGGATGGACGAATGAACATGGAAGTCAGGGTGATGCTAATCGAGGAGGGAAAACGAGTCCCTGTGACAGTGCACATGGGGAGTCCGAGGGACCAAAGGTTGCCATCGGTGTTCCCGGGTCTGTGTGGGGCGTGATATAAATCCACACCAGGATGGAGTCGCGTGTATGATCTGCCTTGATTAACAGGTTTCCTATTCTTTTCCTGTGTGTCCATTTTGTTTTGTTTTTCTTCTCCTGTTTTCTGTATTCTGTTTGTTTTGTTTTTGCTCCCTGGGGATGCCTGTTCTCCTCTCCTACCTGTCTGCATCCTTCCCCCACTTCCCTCTCCTTTCCCTGCCGCCTCTCCCCCGGCTAACCCACCCCCATCGCGACTTCCCACCCTCCACGAGCAGTGGCCGCATCCATTACACTGAGATGTATGAAATGCTGACTCTCATGTCACCTCCGCTAGGCCTCGGCAAGAGATGTCCCTCCAAAGTGGCATATAAGGTAGACCACCCCTTCCTTTGTTCTGGGCTAGACACCAACAGGCCATGGGGTCTAGTTGGACCTGGGGAGGCAGCCGGGCTGGGGAGGCGGAGGCCGGGACTGCAGAAGGAAGAAATGATGAGACCGAAGAGTCAGGAAGGTTCCCGGAAGGATGAAACCATGAGACGATGCAAGGGATGGTTTGTGATATTATTCGGCACGGGGTTTCCTTTGTGTGTTCTTTCGTGTTTCTACAAGTGTGTGGCTTCTCGTGAGTGGGTCACTAGGAAGGCAGTGTTGAGTGGTGTGTTTCCTTTTAGAGGAGGCAGAGTGGTGGCCTAGGGGAGAGCAGGCCTGGGCAAGAAGGAAGCCTACAGCAAAACAGCTGTCAGCACTGATAAAAAAAAAAAAACAAAAAAAGAAACATCTTCAATCAGGTAGACTAAGGAGATAATGCAGAAATTCCTCTAAACATGGTTCCAGAAGAAATTTTTAGGAGAGAGGAAAACTCTTAACAAATTTCTTCCTCCATGACATAGGAAGGAACAATGGCATAGGTTCCTTCTAGGTATAAGAAAAAAAGAATACGACTTCTGTCCCATGATAGACTGAGGAATGTGGCTTCATTTTCGCATTGGCCTGGCTACCCAATTCTCTTGGAAATACTCAAGAGAAACGGCAATCATGGGCACAAGTTGCATTCAGCACTAGATCTGCCTTACTGGCATGACACGGTTACGGGGCCTGGCCCTGGAGTGTTGGATGGATTGATTCCCTATGGCTTTGCTTAGAGAGCACCATATGTTGGGAGTCACCTGTCATTAGCGTGCTCATAACTTTGGGACCTGAATTTTTTCCCCACCCATTAGTATAGTTACTGTTAATTCCCCTTTGATGTTTAGACTGACCCAGGATTCTGGGGCGCTTTCACGCACCTAGGAACACAATATAGTAATGTTGCCACTTCTCTAGAAGTTCAAAGAGGTAGGAGAGAGATGGAACTCAAATCCTAACAAGAAGCTGGCTGTCCACTGTAAGACACTGTGTGGCATCGCTTTAGGCAAGATGCTCCAATGGAATATTAGAGACCCTGCCTTGGGAAGAGGACTTTCCTCCCTGCCAGGCTGGTGGTTCTGCCAGAGGACCTTCTCCTGCTGCTACCGCCAAGTCGTGTGGCTCCAGAGAGCATCCCACTGCGACATGGCCATTAGGGACGTTCATCTGCCCCAGTACGTGGCTCTTCCTGCACTTAGGGGCTGGCATCCTTTTTGCTCACAATGGCCACATCCCAAATGACCAGGTGGTGGAATGTGGTCCTGAACTCTGTGAATTTCTGGGCTGAATCTTGGAGGGAGAAGGGAAAATGGGGCTTGGGGGAAAGGTTAAAGAATTCCAAAAGCAAGATACTCTCTGGAAAGTGGATTTGGCCATTTCAGTGTGATCCCTTCCTTTGGGTGAGGGGAACAAGGCCTGCCCACTCTGCTCCTGCCTGGGCCACCCTTCTCTTGTTCTCTCTCCTCCGCTCTGCCCATCTTCCCACCCTAGAGCCTGTTTGCACTCTCCCCCATCCATCCTGCTCCACCTCATCCTTTGGATAAGTTGGACTTATGCATGTTCAATCATGGGCTGGCAAATTTCATCTTTTAAAGACTCAAAAAGGGGGCACCAGGATGCATCTTTTAAGTCAGATAAGCAAAGCAAAATCTCTCCACTCACTATCTTTCCATCTGACTTCCAGGGGTATTCATGGGACAAGTGGCAGGATGGAGCCGCCTCCCGGAGCGACTCCTTTCCCTGAGCCACTGCTTTCAGAAATCCCTTCCCATCCCTGTTAAAGACATTCTTAGGACTCCCCATGGGGGAATCCTGCAGAATGATTAGGGAGCCCCCTTCCCTTGGAATTCGGCATCATTCCCTAAAAAAGAACGGCAACAAATGAGCCTTAAGTGAGAAGCAGGGAGAGCAGGACAAGGACAGGGGAAGGGGAATCCTTGCCCTTCTTTTTTGTCTGTGCATTTGACCTCTGCACTTCTCTTCCCTTCTCACCAAGGTGTCTTTCGATATGTTTTTTTTGCCTGCTGTTGCCTTTTTCTCTTTCACACAGAGGTTGGTCCTGATGAATATGCCAGTAGCTGAGGACATGACGGTCCACTTCACCTCCACACTTATGGCTCTGATCCGGACGGCTCTGGACATTAAAATTGCCAAAGGTGAGCTTAGGAAGGGGGTGGGAGGAAGGATATCTGGAACAACTCATGCAGGGTGGTACAGGATGGAGATATTTGAGCTGTCATCCACCTGGCTAAGGACAGGACAATGCAGTGACCTGAACATCAAATATCAAGATCCTGGTTCCACCTCTGAGACTCAATGACTATGATATTTGCCATTTCCTCCTGGTCAAATGAATGGTCTCATCATCTCTGGGGCTCCTTTCAGCTTTAATAGTATATTATCTTCAGTGTCTGGCACATAGTAGGCATTCTAGAAATACTTGTTTATTGAACATTCAAATTTTCATTTTGTCCTTTTTTTTTTTTTTTTTTTAAATCTTGTATCTTTTCTCTAAAGTCTTGGAAGGCTTCTGTAGCAGGTGCTATCATAGAAGCCCTGGCCATACTTGGTTCATCTTGATTTCTGATTCAATCATTTAGGAGAGTAAAGGTTTATTCCTTCCACATGGACCTTCAGCCTGCTCTTGCCTGACCCAAATTCTTTATTAAAATCGGATCACTCCCACTGTGGGCTTAGGGTCCCTGGCAGGATTGATGTGTGTATAACGAGGCAGGGGCAGCATTCTCGGGGCTGTTTTTATTTTTCCCTCTGATGTATTTGCCAGGAACGTGGCCAGTGTTCCCCGCAAAAAACCGGGTCCCTTTGGTAGAGTTGCAAGGGATAAGAAAATAATAGAGAAAAATGGAAAATAAAAGAATTAAAAGAATACACAGAGACAAAGATATAGTTTTATAAGTTTATAAAGATTATAGGCAAAGTGGGATCTCAGGGGGCCTAGACCTTCTCCGTGTGTCTCAAAAAGCCCCAAATGAGATCTTACATGGTAACTTATAGTGAATAGTGATTAATTGCCAGGGGTAACAGATTTACATAACAACAAGTAGCTCCTCTCAGGTTAACAGATTTTCGAAAGGCTTCTACAGATCCTTTAACTAATTCTATCTACGTGAACAAATGGTTACAAAATCTTTCAAAGGTTAACTTCTAAGTTCTAAGGTAAGTTTATCACTTAACAGAGGGGTTAAACAGAGATATGTTGGCTCCATATTTATTAGGTTATTGTGAATGAAGACAGACAGTCTAGAGTGTTTAAACAAGAGCTTTGCTTTTAGCCATTCGGGCATCTGTCTGTTCCAGGGGACACTCCATTGTCAGCTCTCATCCTGTAGTTTTTAACAGATTCACTTTGCTTTACAAAGCAAATCCAAACCTTTAGGTCTGAGAAACACGGTGCCTTGTGGGATACAGCCGCTACTGTCTTTCAGAGATGCCCTTCCAAGTGCAACAGCATTTGAAATGCAAACCAACACGTTCACATATTCCTTCAGGGCAAAGCCCTGCAAAACTCTTAAGACAAATCCTGTCTGCAAACACATCGATACTAATTCATGGAGCAACATGTATTTGAGCACCTGAGAGGCTTTTAGAATCAGTAAGGAAGTGGATCTTGGTCTCAGGACTTCAGATCTCTCTAGCAGGATATCCCTGAGCCACGGAAATGGGAGCCAAATGTGTTCTGTGCCTTCAGCAGAAAGACCTGGTCTGCAAGACCCACTGTTACTAAGTGCCAAGATTTCCTCTCAGTACGTGGTATGCTGCTGATTCAGCTCCGCCCCCACCTACTCCCTCAGTCCTTGTTATTTCTGTGTCCATTCTGATTTATTTATTAATAATTTCTTATTCTAGGTGGTGCAGACAGGCAGCAGCTAGACTCAGAGCTGCAGAAGGAGACCCTGGCCATCTGGCCTCACCTGTCTCAGAAGATGCTGGATCTGCTTGTGCCCATGCCCAAAGGTGTGGGTCTCCCCCTGGGTGACCCTGTCACTGGGGGCCCAGCATGCCAAGGCCACATCTTTTAGGGGAACCCAGAATGATCAAGGAGATAAGGGAAGGTTACTCTTTTATTTTTAGGAAATGAAAATCTCCTACTTCTTAAGCCTTTTTTGTTGTTAATTGAAAACGTTTTCTAAAGATAGGTCACTGTGGTTGTGGGTGAAACTTCTTGGGTACAAAGCTCCCTCCCTCTCTCCACGTACTATTACTGTTCAGCAAACCCTCATGAAGTGGGGGGTGGGAGCAGGGTGTTGTTACTTAGATATGGAGATGAAGAGTAGCAGGTGATGCTTACTAATGTATTGTGCATCCTCGGTATCATCGCCACGTTTGGGTGGGTGTGTAAGCTCCCTGATGACAGATATGGGGGCCCATTCACTCTGTGTCCTCAGAGCCTGGCACGTAAGAAGCCTCGATAGATGTTGGATGCATGGGTGACTGAGGGAGCAAACTGTTCCAGAGAGTGGGTAACAAAGCTTGGCGGTGTCCTCACTCTCTCCCACCTGTCTTCTTCCTGTTCACCACCATGCTGCATTTGTGTTTCTAGCCTCTGACCTGACTGTGGGCAAAATCTATGCAGCAATGATGATCATGGACTACTATAAACAGAGTAAGGTGAAGAAGCAGAGGCAGCAGCTGGAGGAACAGGTGAAGGTCAACAGCGTGTTGGGCGGGCGGGCCATGGGAGTCATGTGAGGGGACAAGCCTGTGCGTCCCTGGGCATAGCACCTGCCAGCACTTAGAAGCAGCGGTAAGGGATGCAGGGCCCAAGAGCTTTCTAGAGCTGTGGGATTAGAAACTACAGGGTTAGAAATCCAGTGGACCAAAGGTTAAAATAGTCAAACAGGGTATTAATCATGTTCCTGTGTTACCCACGTAAATTGTATTTCCCCACGGTAGACTTCATAAAGTCATTGCAATTCCTTTCTTCTCCATCCCCCTTTTTACACAGAAAAATGCACCCATGTTCCAGCGCATGGAGCCCTCATCTCTGCCTCAGGAGATCATTGCTAATGCCAAAGCCTTGCCTTACCTCCAGCAGGACCCCGTTTCAGGCCTGTAAGTAGAACCAACGTGTCCCTGACACTGATGTTTGCGTTCTGTCACCTGTGCAGGCCTATAAACTCACCGCCCAGGAGTGCTTGAGAAATAATGTTCTGGGCTGAATGATCCTTTTTCTGAAGTTGAGTATCTTAACGTGACTTTTCAGCAGATCTCAGGGAAAAGCAAACCAAGCATGTTTAGTAGTATGGCCAGCTTCAGAGACAGCGATCACTATGAGTTGACAATGGAAGGGAGTTTTGACTTTTTTTTTTTTTTTCATGTACTGAGATCTTAGTTGTAGTTTGATTGTGAAGAATAATCACCTCCTGGCTGGGCGCGGTGGCTCATGCCTGTAATCCTAGGACTCTGGGAGGCCGAGGCGGGCTGATTGTTTGAGCTCAGGAGTTCGAGACCAGCCTGAGCAAGAGTGAGACCCCGTCTCTACCAAAATAGAAAGAAATTAATCGGACAGCTAAAAATACATAGAAAAAATTATCCAGGCATGGTGGCACATGCCTGTAGTCCCAGCTACTTGGGAGGCTGAGGCAGAAGGATTGCTTGAGCCCGGGAGTTTGAGGTTGCTGTGAGCTAGGCTGACGCCATGGCACTCTAGCCCGGGCAACACAGTGAGACTCTGTCTCAAAAAAAAAAAAAAAGAATAATCACCTCCCATCTAGTTCTTGGTTATCACCTCCCTGTGGATCTAGTGTCCTGCTAGAAGATATATCTTCCCTAATGGGTGCCAGAGGAGAACCATAGTGAGTGCTTTCCCTGAGACTGACACTTCTACAAACATGATTTATATGATCTCACTTGATTCTCACTACAGCAGCCTACTATACCCTGGGGGTGGATATTAATATCACCACTTTACAAATGAAGAGACTGGAGACCAAGAGAGGTTCAATAAGTTACCCAAAGCCATGTGGCTAACAGGACATGGAACTAGAATTTAAGTCAGTTATTTCTGATCTCAGAGTCTTTCCACCACATCATGTTACCTTTAGTGAACAAAAAGAACTTATATCAGGAAAAAAAAAATTTTTAATTTCTATAATCAAAGTGAAAATAAAACCCTAATTAAGGAATTTGCCAGTTCTTCTGAGTTAAAAGCCTTAACCCCAATTTAGTCATTAGTCATGAGTAATCTACTATAGCATGCATATCTCATTATAACATTATCTTCCTCTCATCAGCAAGCATGTCGTGAGCACCCAAAGAGCCTGAGTCCTTCTACTGGATGTAAATGAGTTTGTGTGGCGGTGTTGAACATAGCCTTAGTTCTTATAGAACCAATAATCACTAAATAGCATGACTTAATTATCCAGGAGAGCGATACCCAGGGCTTGGGAATGAGACCTTTGTCAGAAGCCATTTGGAATCGCTCCACACCATTAATTTCTTTCTGCCTGTGGTGTCGGAGATCTGTTTTTGAAAAGCATAGTTTTCAGAGATCACAATCCAACACATTTGGCAGAAAAGAAAAGGACCAGAGCCATGACCAAGGCCGTTGGTCATTTTTACAAACAATTTGATGTGATGAGGTAGCAGGATATGGATTCTCCTGTCTACACAAAATAAGCAGATGCTTATTTTTGGTCTGTGCAGGATGGAGACGAGGAGGTGTGAGGGAGCCGTGAGACCTCCCCATCGAAGGGTTCATGGGTCCTTGGCTTAGAAATGGAGAACCTCTCCCGTCTAGATCTGTTTTTATCTACAACAATTTTTTGTACAAATTAACCCCCACCATAGGCTTACTCTAATCTCTCTCCCATATCTTGGTGATTCATTTACTCATCAATTTTACCAATATTTATTTTGTTTTGTTTTTTGGAGACAGAGTCTTGCTCTGTTGCCCAGGCTAGAGTGCTGTGGTGTCAGCCTAGCTCACAGCAACTTCAAACCTCCTGGGTTAAAGCGATCTCATCCTCCTGTCTTAGCCTCCCAAGTAGCTGGGATGACAGAGGTGCACCACCACTCCTGGCTAATTTTTTCTATTTTTAGTAGAGACAATATCTCACTTTTGCTCAGACTGGTCTTGAACTGAGCTCAAGAGATAATCCTGCCTTAGCCTCCTGAGCAGCTGAGACTACATGTGCACACCACCATGCCCAGCTAATATTTTATATATGTTCCCCAGCTAATTTTTTCTATTTTTAGTAGAGACAAGGTCTTGCTCTTGCTTGGGCTGGTCTAGAACTCCTGACCTCAAAGAATCCTGCTGCCTTAGCCTCCCAGAGTGCAAAGATTACAGGCATGAGCCACCATGCCTGGCCAATTTACCAATATTTATTAAGAGCCAATTTGGTCCAAGCACTGGAGATACATTGGTGAATGTAATCATAGTCCCCAAGGAGACAACTCTGGAAAGAGCAATGCAGGCTAAACTATGGAAGGGTAGGCTGTTGTGATGCTGTGGAAAGGAAGCAGCTCCCCCAGTTTGAGAGTTTGGAGAGGGCTCCCTGAAGAAGTAGCATTTAGGTGAGACTTGAAGGCAAGCTCTTCAACAGAGGTGAAAAATGTGCTAAGTTTAAGGGACCTGAAAACTATCAGGATGGTTGGAGCACAGAGAGCTCAGGGAGGTGGCAAGTCATGGGTTCAGAGAGCTACACAGGGGCCAGGACTTTGGGGGACTTATAAACTGGATGAAAAGGTTAGATTTTGTTTCATATAATAGAGTTTTATGCATCAGAATGATGTGATCAGACTTGTGCTTTTCAAAAGTCATTCTAGACTTAATGGATTAGAAGGGAGCAATTCTAGAGATAGGAACACCATTGAGTAGACTACTGCAAATGTGTAGGTGATCAGTGACAACCAGGGTAGAAGTGAGGAGATACTGATTTGCTATGTGGAGGGGAGGAGGAATCGAAGATGACCCTTGGGTTTCTGGTTTGAGCCTTTGGGTGGATGTTGGCACAGTTCCTGACATGGGGACACTGGTGGAACAGCAGGCTGGCTCCTGGGACCATCTGTGTTTCTAGAACCATGCATTGTCCAAGTAGGGGTTGCTCTGGGGGTACAGCGGTGAGCATGACAGGGCCCCTCCCTCAGTGAACTCACATGTGGTGGAAAACCAGCCGTTAAACAGAAAATTATTGGAATGAAGAAAAGTCCTTTTCAATGATTTAATTACAGTTCTGATATTGTTAGAAAGACAAAATACAACACGATATGAGTGCCTGTAAGAGGGAGATCTGACCAACTATGGGGTGAGGGGAGATATCAGAGAAGATTTCCTCCAGAAGTGTCTTTTAATAAGAATTTTTAAGAATGAATTCAAAATAACACAGAAGGAGTTTACAGGAGGCAGGGGAGTTGGAGAGAAGCGTTCTGGACTCTGGGAATGGCCTCTGTTTAAGTCTTGAGGCAGAAAGAAGCAGCCTGGCCCATTCGGTGAACTAAAAAAGGCCAGCGTTTCTGGAATTCAGGGAGCCAAGGGGACAGTGATCCAAGAGGAGGCTGGGGAGGTAGGAACCAGACCATGAGAGAGTCCATGTTCGGGATGCTAGACTTTAAAAACTTGGTCAGGCTTCTGATTGCTTTTAGGATAAAGTAGATCGCTCTGGGTCCATGTTATTCCAAGGCTCCTTTTCACCTACTGAAGGTTCTACAAGTACTCTCTGTAGGACAGAAGGAGCCCGTTCCTTATACTAGCAGAACTTGTCTTGTTGCCAGTGGTTCTCAGAAGAGGGCACACTGAGGAAGAGGACTGACATTGAGGCAGGTCATTTAAATATCAGATCACTCTGTATTATTATGAGAACTTAGCAAAAGCCCACATGGCCACAAGGGGACAGTTTGGGCAATTCTCTGCTATCCAGATCTTTCCCAGAGATGCTAATCTAAGTAAGATTATACCTATGGATTATTTTTAAGTAACTGGCAATCCTTGTTCATGCCACAAGTTTCCATTGGAGGCAGTCACCAGCAGTAGACTCAACTAGAGCAGAAGCCTGATGTCCCACCTCTCCCTCCCAGCTCCATCACTGCTAGAGCTGCTGCCCAGCCACTGACCTCAGTCTTCTTCCCATAATTCAGAAACCCACTCAGCACTCTCGAATAGGTCCAGTGGTGGCTATCACTGGTGGCAGTGACTGGCAACAGGAGCCAAGTTCTCAGGAAGGGTCCTAATCAGGATCCCAATGGCTGAGTGTCTGGAAATACCAAACACTGGTTAATGACAAGCATACCATGACAGCCCTCCATGCCTTTAATTTGGAGACCTCTAAACACTTGGCAGACTTTGTCCCTGTCCTCTTCTCTCATCACCCTCTAAACCTCTTTCTGCGTAGTGATAAACCCAGAGGTTTTCACCTCCTCAACACCATCTCTGAAATCATTCTACCCGGTTCATGAGCCAGCAGACATAGTGTATGATACAGAGTTGTCCTTCATTAAATGAAATGGTGATGGGATGGAATTGGGTTGTTTCGTTTGGCCAGGGATGTTGGCACAATAAGACCATATTCTTGCTGAGAGTGGGGAAAATTTTTTAAAAGACCGTGGCTGCTTAATATTTAAACAAACTGTTCACTGTTTAAGCTATGGCATTTTTCCGCTAAATAGGGAAACAGGTTTACAATCTAGCATTGGTCTTCCATATGGCTGAGTGTGACAAATGATGTCATTTGTCACAGATATGCTAGTCGCCAGCAGAATGATGAATGGTTCCAAATGCAGGTTGAAAACACCAGTTTCTTTCTTTTCCGATGTTTTTTTTTTTTAATCTTCTATTTCAGGGCCACCCACCTGTAAGTTACCAGGCTCACAAGCCAGCCATGGCTAAAGGGTGTTGCCCTGCTGGGAAGGAGATCTTGTCTGGGGTGGGAGTCATCAGTGTCCCTCTCTCTCTCATTGCCTCTGAATTTGACATTGCCTTTCAGGAGTGGCCGGAGTGGATACCCTTCGATGAGTCCGCTCTCCCCGCAGGAAATATTCCAGTTGGCGTGTATGGACCCAGCTGATGACGGACAGTTCCAGGAGCAGCAATCTCTGGTGAATGAATGTGTTCTATGACCTCGAAAATAATTCCTTGGTTTCTTGATCCTGCCCACTCTCATTTTCAAATTTTTATTTCATAGGCATGATCTATCAGGAAAACTGTTTCTGGTAGTCTAGCCACTCTGGGAGTTTGCTGCCTTCAAAACTTCCATAGCCCAACTTCTCGTGTGCTCTGATAAAGTTCCCTCTTCCAGTTTTACAGTCTCAGAGGCCTTTACCTGCTGCAGGAACTTAAACTGCTTCAGGCCAAGCCCTTTTACTTTATACCCTGAGCATCAAATGCTAAAGGAAAAGTTACATATAAAATCTAGTCTTTGATAGGGAGCTTTAAGATGAATCATCTCAGAATGAGCGATACCTACCATGCCTGTTAGTGCAGCCAGGTACCGCTTGTGGGGACACAGAGTGCCCTATGCCAGCCCTGGTGATGCCTCCTCCAGGACTCGGTGGCAGTGTGTGCCACAGTGACAAGCTGTCTGCCTGCCAGGAGGTACAGAAGACTCTCCTACCTCTGCTCTATGTGGGTTCAGGCACATTGGCCCTTTTGGTCACATTTCTACAAGGTCAAATAAATCCTACCAGGCCCCTGAAGTCACCTTCCTGAGCCAAAAATGAGTTTTTATTAGCATAAGTGGCAAAATTCTGGAGAGATCTATTGAGTCAAGTTAAAGCTTGGGGAAGAGAGGGCAGAATGAAGTTTTGGCTTTGCTGATACAAAACTAAAATGTGATTGCCAAAGTTAATCCACTTTACCACTGTTGCTAGTCAGGAGTGATGAGCTCGAGTTCCCCCCAACGTTCATTGATTGGATTGAAGAGACAAAACCCAACCTTTGCAGAAGTCCATAGAGACAGCTTGTACTAAGTGAGTTCCACGTCACTTTGTGATTTATCTGTGGTTCTTCTCTCCCTTTTATTTCTCTCCTGACCCCTCCCCGCTGCTACTGTGTACCCCAGGGCCATCCTGAATGGATGATGTAGGTGCAGTAGGTGATGGAATGGGGACCCCCTCAGAGGGGGAAAAACACCCCCATAACTCACAACTGGGTGTGTGTCTCCCAGTTCTGTGTGTGAGTGCTGAGAGAGAGTTGTCTGGACATCCCCACTGCATGAGCGAGCAGCTGAGGGTGTTCTTGGTTGAGTGGGGAGGAATTCCCTGCCTTCCCCTCTGAGGAACTCGGCGCCAAGGCCTAGGGACTCACGGGTACAGATGGTTTGATTCTGCGAAGGGCCTCTAAGCATTTTACAGCTCTCCTGCCTGGCGATGTGTCTAACGGGCAAGAAATCTCAATAACGTGTCCTTTCTTCCACAGGGAGACTTTATTACATCATCCTTCCTGCGGGTCCCCAGGGCTGAGCCGTAGTGCCAGGACTTTTCAGATATATGTTCATCTCATTGTCAGTACCAGTGTCAGCCTGTGCCACATGCTCACCACTGTGTACTTCTGCCCATCCCTTGGGGCCCCTGCTCCCCATCCTGAGGCGTGGCCGTGATCTGTGTGTGTCTCACACCACCTCTGACACTCGTAGACTACAGTGTTGTCACCACATCTGTTTGGAGTCGGAACCGTGTGCTGTATAAAGACACTCACTTCCTCAAGCACTGTCCACACCCCGTGCCCTCAGAGGGCACTCTCCCACACACACCAGAAACCACTCAGCCAAATGGTCATGGGGCTGAGGGATCTTTGGTACCCTTTGGGCAATGCCCTACTCATACACCCATGTTTTTAGGGTGCCATTTCCTAAATATAAAATAGCTTTTTTCTGAAACAGTCTCTAGATTCCCAAGATATTCTTAGATCTCTTTGTTGGGTGGCCCCTGTAAACATATCTAAGGCAGCTCTACTCTGTGCAGTGACACTAGCTATCTGCACAGAGCACCTACAACTGCCAAACTAACATTCTTTACCAGGAAAAAAAATAATACAATAGTTTGACAGAACCTTACAGATTTCCAGTCCAACCTTTGAACACTCTGGAGGGGCACAGTCCAATATAGCTAGTCACACAGGGCCACTCAGCACTGGAAATATCAGGCTAAATAAAATATATGAATTTTTTTTTTTTTTAAGAAAATGTGTTACTTGGAAAGCTAAAATTATGTAAGTGGCTCGCATTATAGTTCTATGGGACTACGCTAGTCCAAAGTATGGCTGCCAGATGGTCACCCACCACATTTTTGGATGGTTTCAATCATAAGGAAACTCTTTTAGCTAATAAAATCATGGTCTTGAGGCTGGAGAAGATACACTGGACATCAGAAATTGGTCTTCCCTTAGACTACTGGTTTCTAGTTAATTGATAAAAGGCCTCTTCAAATTAAAAGACTAAACCCAATACTACTGCCTCTCAGAAAACCAGCTTTGCATAGCTAAGAGTATTATGACCGACAATCTTTGCTTCCTAAAGCTGTAAATCTAAAGCTTTGCTTAGTGATGAAAAGGTGACCTGCACCTCTCAATCCCAGTTAGAGCTTTCTGTTGGGCACATCTGGTATACGACGTATGTGCACACATAAACACGCACAACTGAGACCTTAAAGATGCGAGTGTCTCTTCGGAAAGCCATTCTTGACGAGGCCGAATCATCCACCAGAGGTGAGAAGCAATGAGATGGAACCAAGTCCCACAAGCTTGGCTGTGTGTTTATTTCCAGGAGCCAGAGGTTAGTGAATTAAAAAGCGCGCAGCCCTCTAACCATGGCATCTACCTTCCTCCGGACACCCAAGAGCATGCGGGATCTGGGAGGGCGTCCTCTATGCCACGTCTGACCATGGATCCCCAGGTAAAAAGCCAACACCGCCTACCTTATGCAGTGGCATCCTGGGCTGTAGTAGGTGGGTTATGAGATAATATCTAAGGTGAGCATTGGCTTGTCCCACCCCTCGCCATTAGCAAAGTCTGGCTCAGGGGCCTGCTGCTCCATGGTGTTTGCAATGACCCCCTAACCACAATAGCCCAGGCAGCCGAATGGTATAACTCCCTCTGGGTGGGTTCAACATACTCAACCAGCCCTGCAAGAAATATTTTTCAGGACTTTCTCTGTGTATCATTCCATCCTTTTTTCCTTTCCTGGCTCTTCCAGCACACGTGCAGTTGCTCACACACCCAACTCTGTGTCAGGACTGTCCTAACCAGTGCAGGCCACGCCTCATTTCTTTGTCTGTTTTCCTGGCTTCTTTTTACTGTCTGTCTGTCTTACATCAGGATTTGACAGAGACAAGAAGTTTTTTGTGAATTTGTTTTAACGTCTGTGGCGAATCACAATGCCAGAGTTCACGGTGGGGTGGACGGTGGAGGGAGAGTGGTGTGTTCTTCGTAGCTGTTAAATTGTGAGCTCTCCTGCTGCAGGGTAGGGCCTTTTCTAGCAAGGTCATAAAAGAAAGAAGGAAAAGGCAAATCCATGCTTCTTTGCATAGTGTAGCCTTTTGGACGGTTGCTCTCGTGTGTTTCAAAGCAGCTCAGTATTTGCTGCAGGTCCCAGCTGAGCCCGTGCTACAAGGCTCCGGGAGAAGCTTGCGCAGTGCCTGCCTGTATCTGCTTGGCTCTGCCCTAGCACATTCAGCTGTTGCTTTTTTGAGCACGAAGAGAAGATCCTGGACCAGTTTCAGTGACTATGTTAACATAACATAGGGATACTTTCTGGATCAGCCTCCTCCAGCTAAGGTCTGAGCAAGAGGAATCCAAGGGAGGTTATGCAGGGGTTACAATTTGCGGTCCTCCACAGTCTGTGCCACTTCTTCTGTGCTTTTAGACCCCTTCCATAATTAATCTGGACTTACGTTTCTCTGGGGGCTCGTATTTCCAGGTGATGACAGACCCGAGCTCCATGAGGCGTTCATTTTCCACCATTCGGGATAAGCGTTCAAACTCCTCGTGGCTGGAGGAGTTCTCCATGGAGCGGAGCAGTGAAAACACCTACAAGTCGCGCCGCCGGAGTTACCACTCCTCCCTGCGGCTGTCGGCCCATCGCCTGAACTCCGACTCTGGTGAGGAGGTCTTCTGTCAGGCAGCTGGCTCCTGCCCTGAGGGACTTGTTCTGGCAAGGACTACAGATAGCTGGAAAAGAAATAATAACTTGGATAAAACAAGGATTGAGAAGTGAAGGATGCTCCTTACCTAAGGGGGTTCCCGTATCTGACTTATATCCTGAAACAGGCCAAAGCCCTCTGTGTTCATCACAAAGGCTGACGCAATTCCTTCCTTCCCAGAGCAATGGAGGGAGGTTTCCACACAGCCTTCTGCAAAACCACTGGGTTTCTTGGGAGTATATTAGAGACCTCCTGGCAGGGCTGAGCTTTAACCACCAGCTCCTGTTTAACCCAAACAAAAGCGCTGCCTGGAATTGCTTTCTGTATTTGAGTTTAAGATTTTTACTTTTTAGAGACAGGGTCTTTTTCTGTCTCCCAGGCTAGAGTACAGTGATGTCATCATAGCTCACTGCAACCTTAACCTCAGCCTCCTGGGCTTGAGCAATCCTCCTGCATTAGCCTCCCAAGTAACTGGGACTACAACCGAATGCCACCACATCTGGCTAACTTTTTTGTAGATCCAGGGATCTTGCTCAGGCTGGTCTCAAACTCATGGCCTCAAGCAATCTGCCTCCCAAAGTGCTAGGATTATAGGCTTGAACCACCATGCCCAGCCAAAATTTTTTATTCTTTTAAGGAAAGGGGGTTATACTGATTTTTTTTTTCTTTTTGAAAAATGAAAACAAAATAATTAGTGTGGTTCAACCTATTTTAGTAGATGAAGGAATCAAAGTTGAAAAAGCGGTGACTTGCCCCATATCACAGAGCCTACTAAATGGCAGATATGTCTAACATAAATGGAAACAGAAGAGAGAAGATTGCATTCTTTGACATGTATGTCTTTCTAGTGGCTACTTACAAACTTACCTGCTCACAAAAGGGTAATTTTCTGGCCTGCCTTTCTTCCCTGCTTCCCTTTCCGATCATCTGTTGACAGGCCTGGAGAAGCCAGGGTTTTTTAGGGGCCTGTCTTAATTCAGGCAGCAACAAACTACCATAGACTGGATAGCTTAAACAACAAACCTTTCTTTCTTCCCTTCCTCCATTTTTTTTTTTTTTTTAATTTCAGCATGTTACAGGGGTACAAATGTTTAGGTTACATATATTGCCTTTGCCCCACACCCGAGTCAGAGCTTCAAGCATGTCCATCCCCACAACAAACCTTTGTTTTGGAGGCTGGGAAATGCAAGATCAAGGTGCCAGCAGATCCTGTGTCTCATGAAGGGCTGCCACCTTTTTGTCCTTGCGTAGCAGAGAGAGATGAAGCAAGCTCTCTTTTTATAAGGGCACTCATCCCATCAGGAAGGAGTTAGGGTTTAGCATTTGAATCTGGGGGGACATGAACATGCAGTGTGTACCAGGGACCAGTCCCAGGTTGTGATGCGACACCTGGTGAAACGTCTCTTCATCTTACGTAACCAGTGGGAGCTGAATCGTAACCAGGTGCTTCTGTCACCTCTCACAGGCCACAAGTCCGACACCCACCGCTCAGGGGGCAGGGAGCGGGGACGATCGAAAGAGCGAAAGCATCTCCTCTCACCTGATGTCTCCCGCTGCAATTCAGAGGAACGAGGGACCCAGGCCGACTGGGAGTCCCCAGAGCGCCATCAGTCCAGGTCACCCAGCGAGGGCAGGTCACAGACCCCCAACAGACAGGTGAGCATGGAGAGGGAAGCCGGCCCTGCAGGGCAGACTTAGAACATTAGGTGCAGCCACACGTAAGCACCCACAGAGACCTGAGTTTCCCAGGAAACTATACCTACTGTGCACTCAGGGATGCTCTGAATTCACAGAAGACCAGATTTTCCCCCAAGAAAGATGATGGTGCCTAGAGGTCATCCCATTTCAACCCTCAAGATCCAGAGGTACAAATAAGTTCACAGGTGTCTCGGCCAGCTTTGGGAGGAAAGGATGGTCCTATACTAGAAATATTTCTCTGACCATCGTGTGATCCTTAGTATTAATGGGAATGGTGATTCATCTCCCAGCCCAGGATTCATAAGAGCAATTCAACCTCATTTACCCAACCTTTGGCCATTCCAAGAGGAAGACCATGTCTCTCCTTCTGGCCTTTTGCTGAACCACCAGCCTGTGCCTCTGAAATAACTAGCAGAATTGCATGAAAACATTCTTGCCTCCTGTGATACTGTTCTCTCTCAGCCTTCTCTCCACGCAGGGCTCTTTGAACCCAGATGGGAGACTTTATCAACAGGGATGAAGCAGGGCTGCCAAAGTAGACTTTTAGAGACATTGGCAGTTGAGAAGTTGATCTTCTACAACAACAGTTTTGAAATTTTAGTAGAGAACAGAATCCCCTATGGAGCTTACTATCACTGCACATTCCTAGGACCTCAAAAACTCTAGTGAGGCCCAGAAATCTGCATTTGAAAGGACCCCTCCCCAGGAGATTCTGGGCAGGTACCCTTGGGAATAGGTGAGGAGGTCAAGTAAGGCCTGAACCTACAGATGAGAGTGTGGGGTGTAGAAGCCATGGGAAGGGATTTGCAATTCCCTTAGAACCCACTTCCCAAAAAAGGTTTCCCAGTCAGAACATTCATTCACCTTTCATGGAGTTGTCTTTTTTTTAAAAAAAATTTCAGAATATTATGGGGGTACAAACATGTTGGTTACATATATTGCCTTTGCACTGCCCAAGCCAGAGCTACGAGCATACCCATCCCCTCCACCTGCCCAGCACCTGATGAATGTTACTTCCATGTATACACATAAGTGTTGATCAGTTGGTACCAATTTGATGGTCAGTACATGAGGTGCTTGTTTTTCCATTCTCATGATATTTTGCTTTGAAGAATGGGCTCTAGCTCCATCCAGGATAATGCAAGGGGTATTAAGTCACCATTGTTTTTTGGTACTCCGTGGTATGTATATACACACAGTGGGAATGGCTTTTATCAAAAAGTCCCAAAACAACAAATGTCTTTAAAGTCTATCACTGTGCCCCTTGTTATATAGAGAGAGCCTCCAGATCTGTGCTTGTTCCGGGGACCTACAGCATGAGCATCCCCTGAGGGCTTGTTAATAATGCAGGAGTTTAGGCCGCACCCTAGACCCTGCGTCTACCAAGTAACTGGACCCCCCAGAGGATCACATGCACATTAAAAGTTGAGATGTCCTGATCTAGATGCTATTGACACCTCAACCTCTTCAATCCCTGAGTGGACGTGAATAGTGCAGGGGGCTCCACCGATGGCCTTCCTCCCTGAGAGGTCAGGGACCTTGACAGAGTCCCAAGTGGGGACCAGTCTAACGTGCCATGTCTCTCCTGCTGCACAGGGCACAGGCTCCCTGAGTGAGAGCTCCATCCCCTCCATCTCTGACACCAGCACCCCAAGACGAAGTCGGCGGCAGCTCCCACCGGTCCCACCAAAGCCTCGGCCCCTCCTTTCCTATAGCTCCCTGCTGCGACATGCTGGCAGCATCTCTCCACCTGCCGACGGAAGCGAGGGGGGCTCCCCGCTGACCTCCCAAGTCCTGGAGAGCAACAGCGCTTGCCTGACCGAGTCTTCCAACTCCCCCCACCTACAGCAGGGCCCGCACCCTTCCCCCCAGCGCTACATCTCTGAGCCCTACCTGGCCCTGCACGAAGACTCCCACGCCTCGGACTGTGGCGAGGAGGAGACGCTCACCTTCGAAGCTGCAGTAGCTACCAGCTTGGGCCGCTCCAACACCATCGGCTCAGCCCCACCCCTGCGGCACAGCTGGCAGATGCCCAATGGGCACTATCGGCGGCGGAGGCGTGGGGGGCCTGGGTCAGGCATGATGTGTGGGGCTGTCAGCGACCTCCTAAGCGACACGGAAGAAGATGACAAATGCTAGAGGCTGCTCCCCCCTCCGATGCATGCTCTTCTCTCACATGGAGAAAACCAAGACCGAATTGGGAAGCCAGCGCGGCCCGGGGGGGAGGAGGAGGGAGAAGGAAGATGGAAGGACACCATGCATCATCAGAGAAGAGGAAGGAAAGGATAATCGGAAACCCAGTCAAACCACCAAATTGCTTCATTCCCCTTTGCAAGATGGGCACTGCTATAGTTCTGCCTCTTTGCTGGGGAAAGAAAACACAGGAACGTGGAGGGTTATTCCCAGGGGAGAAGGGACACGAGGACAGCTTCGCTACCCTTTGCCCCTTCCCACTTTTCTAAAAGCCGTGGAGGGATCTAGCCAGCCTGTGTCTACACTCATTGCCCTGAGAAGCCTGGAAGACTTTCTGGCTCTTAACTGGGGAGCAGTGGAGACCACAGGAGAGGACTCTCCTCCCTCACCAGCTCTCACGCCTCAGCCAGCAGCGCTGCCACCAGGGCAGCAGCGCGCATCATCCTGTGGCTTACTTCCCCCAAAGAGGCGCAGGCTAAGTCAGGAGCATCGGATGCCAAGGGGGGGAGGGAAAGGCTGGCGTGGAAGGGGTCAGGGTGCTGTGGCCACAGCAGCAAGGGCTGGTCTGGGTGAGAAAAGCCATAGCCCAGCAGCCCCCACCATGAGGGAGAGGATCCAAGCGACAGCAGTGGTGGGGCTGAGGGGGACGGGCCCCTTTCCCGGAGGCCTATGGCCCGCACAGTAGGTGCTGTGTCAGTCGGGATAGGTGAGGAGGCCCTCAGCTCTGGTAAGGGTGATATTAAAAATATGTACCAGCCCCTCTGGCCAGGGCAGCAACCAAGTGGAGCAGAGCCCATGCTGTTCCAGGCATTGGCCCTTTAGATGCTGGTCATGGGAGAGGCCTGAGGATGGGGGCAGGGGGCATCTAAGGGACTCAAGGCAGAGTCTGTTTTACAACCAGTATAGAAGCAATTCAATTTGCGTAACAGTGCTACAGCCATACCAGCACATCTGGGCAGGGGGTGGCCTCTCTGCCAAGCCCAGTGAGGACATGTGCCAGAGGCGCAGTCTGCCCTGCCACTCTCCCCGAGAGGGCAGAACACACCTGTGGGCCACCTAGCACCAGGCAGAGACTTCTGAAAGGCTGGTAGGTAGAAATGAGAGAAGCTTCAGGGAAAGAGTCTGAATCTACTGAGGACCTCCGTGAGGAGGGACTGCTGGGCCCACAGCTGATGTTGAGGGCGAGTTTGTCAGGATGCTTTAAGGTGATTAGTAAATATACCTCAGCTTAGACCTGGGCTGCTCCTTCTGGCAAAGAATATTTCTCTGGGCCAGGACCAGGCTTCATCCCTCCCCAGAGGAAGAACTGGGCGAAAGACAGCCTCAGGCCACCGTGTCATTCCTAACCATTCCAATGCGGAAGCATTGAGAAAGAGAGAGCCCTTTCTTGGCTAGCCACTGCTGCTTTGGTACATAGTTCCATCTGGGGGAACACATAACTGGCTTTATCTGGTGGAAATGCACCATTTAGTTCCTCCCCAGTACCATCACAGCAGGGGGACAGGTGCCAGGCAGAGCCCCACTTTCCTAGCCAAGAGCAGGTGGAACCTACACCCAGAGGCCTCCACAGGGAGACTCTGAGGGCTCAGTGGATAAACACTCTGTCCTCCTCCAGCCCAGCTAGGCTCCACCATTTGCGTAGGAGCAGTCCGTGGCTGTTAGAAGGAGCCTCTTTTTTTTTCTTGTGGAGTTGTTTCCTTTTTCCTCTTTTTTGATTGAAATAGAAATAAGGCCAAGCTGCTTCAGCCCCAAAAAGGCAAATTCAAACATGCAGCTGGAGAATCCTTTGTCATAGCCCTGCCTTCTCTTCTGGGTAGTGATGGAGTTTCATGACCCATGGTCAGCCCCCAAACCAAAGTAAGACAGGAGGCCAAGGTGGCAGAGACAAAGCTCTCAGACCCTCTTCCGTCTTCATTTTCCTCTCTCACTTAGCACACGTGTGCTTGAGGGTAGCTGGGAATGTGACTATGTAACACCCCGATCCCAACAGGCATGATCATTACATAAAACTGATGCTGGGCCTTGTAGTGTTTTTAAGGTTTCCTCTGCTCAGCGTCATTTCATGCCAAAGTGCTGCTATGTGTGCACACAATCGCTTTTTTCCACCTCGGAAATGCAGCTTGCCCTAGAGAAAGGCCTACGACAAGACAATTCTGAGCCAGCGAGTCTATTGCATGGTGTTTGGAGAAAGGGAATTGCAGTGAGACCCTATGCCATTTCCACAGTAGGAGAGATGGAGGCTGAGAGCAATTACCAGAAATGAAATTTGCCTGCAAACAGTAGTAGGTGCAGTAAATTCACCATGCCAGGAAACCTTCCTGGACCCGTACACACAAGTATTTGAGTCCTGAATAAAGTGTCGTGAAGCGCTGCAGATGCGGTCACCTGACCAACCACCTGGTTTTTCTAACACCAATGAACTTATAAACTTCTTTTATTCAGCTTCTCCTGACCAAGAAATTGGGTTTCTTTTCCCTTAGCCTGCACTTCCTCTTCTATTAAGACCAGAAAAATAAAAAAGAATTTTCTGTTAAGTCATGAACTCATTATCATCATCTTTGGTTTCCTACTGCCTCTGCTCTTTCCCTTGAAGAGAGGCCCCTTTGGGTCTCAAACCTGTGCTTCTTGTGGGATTAAAGATTATGGCAGCATTTTGAGGAATTCCATGCCAAAGAAGACTACAGCCCGTGTTTGAGATCAAACTTGGCCATCAGAGGTCCCTGCAGAAGAGTCTTTAGTTCATATCCCTTGCTAATACCAGTCTTCACCGTCTCAGAACGAGGGAGAGGGGGAAATAAACCAAGGCGAGAGATGTTCTAGCTAGGTTTGTGTTTAGATACCCCTCTCCTCACTTAAGGGTCCAGACAGACTTCTGGTGGGAATGCACGTCTCCTGTTTCTCTGTACATCTTTCCCTCTCTCTCCATCTCCAGGATAGAGTGCCAGCATAGAATTACCTGCCCCAGGAAGGGGTGGTGCCCTCTAGCGCGCCAGGAGCACAATTGCCACTCTTCTAAAGAATCCATTCTGGGCTTCACTTGTACTCTACAAACATTTCCCTGAAGCTGAACTCCACATGTGTTGGATTTTTGTCCTCTCTTGACTCTGGGGCTACAAGAAGAAGACCCCACATTCCACCCCTCACCCAGGGTCTCCCTTCCCTACACTGATCCACGTTTCCCCCGCCACACACACACAGCCTGAGGGTCCCCTGCCCTCTATTTTCCCATCCCGACCTTTGTTTTGCTGCATGTTAGCACTGACCCAACCCCTGAGATGGTTAAGTCCATCCAATCCAAGCTTATTTGCTGGCCTGACCGCCTCTGCCTTGCTCAGCTACTGGGAAATGCCGCGTTCTAATGAGATACAGGTTGGAACTCACCTGGTGCTCCTCACAAGATGATCTGAAACAGAGCGTAAGGTGTGGGGACTGTTGGACGGATGGGATGTATGTGAAATGTCCACATCGTGGATAAAAGCTCACTGCCATTAAATCAGGTTTCTCCTGCAATGATGGAAGAAAATATTAAGTAATTTTGATTTTTTTAAAAATTTCTCAATTTTTCATTCTATTTGTTAAGGCTGCTCGGATGTTTCATTTTTGGACAGAGTTTTTCCTTAGCGGGTAGAGCCAGGTACAAATTGAAACATTCCTTTCTCAACTCAGTTATAAAGATTATGAGAGTATATGTAAAGAAAGGGCAAATGTATAGCAGAAGCGGATCAGACACCCTCTACCTTGCAGGGATTTTGTGAGACTTTAAGGTTAAGGAATTTGCACTGTTTTTGTTAATCATTCATGCCTGTTGTGAAGGCCTGGGGCTAGTGTGTGCCAAGAATCCTGGTGAGGCGAAGTGTTTCCATGCTTTGGGGTGGATTCGTTCTCACTAGTGCTCTCACCCCCCTGCAGGTCCTTCCTCCTGGATCCCAGAGCATCAAGCACCATCCAAGAGGTGCAGGAGAGGACTCCGTGACACAGGAAAGGAAGGAAGGAGTGGGTCCGTTGTTAGTGGCCAGGCAGGGCATGGTGGTTTGACTCCAGACAAGAGTCTCTAAGGAGTCAGGTCTAGATTTGGATAATTTATCTTAAAACGAGAGCCTCCATGAGGAGATATTTTAAACAAAAGCCAAACAAAATTAACTCAGGGGTTAGCACCTAAACTTTGCATGAAAGTAATCAAAGAGATCCCACATTAATAAGCACTGCCTGCACCAGCAGCGTTGTTTCTTTGGTTTTTGTTTTTTCTTCTCTAACCATCCCATACACCATAGCCAGGTCTACCGCAAACACAGCAGCAGCTGGTGTCTTCTCTGCTGGTCGCACAGGGAGAGCTCAACTCCATACTGCTGGGGGCTTTTGTCGGCAGCAGCTCACCCAGTCAGAGTACACAGACATACTACTCAGGAGGACAAAGAACTAAGAACAGAGCTATCTTTGGTTTTTGGTGGCCATCTTTTTCATTCCTTGAATCCTCCTTTCTGCTTTGACCTTCTGAGGCTTACGCATCCCAGAGAGATGCCGCCAAGCCAAAGAGAAGAACATCACAGATTGTTCCGACCTACCCAAAGGGCCTGAAAATGTTCTCGGAACAAAACTCAAGCCAGTTGTTGGAGAAGTATGAATGGGGCTCTCAGCAAAGTCTAATCGATGGTTGGTAAGGCTGGTGTGTCCCCAAACTGCTCTTCTATTTTTGTAGTCTTGTTTCCTTCTGCTCGCCTTCACTCCCTGTGCTAGAAGGAAAGAAGTTAGTTAGTATCTTGACCTTCTAAATGTGAAAAGAGATTTTATAATAAGCCATGTCACTATGTGAATACATTATGAGGTTTGAATTCTTATTTCTGCAGGTATGAAAGAGTTGAGTAGATCAGGCAGAAAGAGGTACAGGGATTTATGTTTATTTTTATTTGTTTGGCAGTGTCTGGGTTTTTTGTAACAGACCCGTTCTAGAACAGCAAATAAGGATAAATTTGTGCTCTGCAACTTTTCTGAATCTGCTTCTTTAGGAATTAATTTCCATCAAATTTAATAAGATATTTGAGTAAAAGATCTGAGGTTACAGTACCAGCTCCTTCTTTTCTCTCTCATCTCCTTTTTGTCTTCTTTCTCCTTCTGTCTCTCAGTTGGCCTTTGTCTCTCTGTATCTCTGTCTTTTCTCTTTTTAAGGACTTAAAATATGATCTAGATTAATAAAAAACTGCCTGAAAACTTCAGCGAAAGCCAAGGAAATACAGAATTTTTTCAGGACATCTTTAACCAACAAATACAAAGTTTATGTACTGATAATTTTCAAATAGTGTAGTAATCTGATAAAAAACTGCCTGAAAACTTCAGCGAAAGCCAAGGAAATACAAAATTTTTTCAGGACATCTTTAACCAACAAATACAAAGTTTATGTACTGATAATTTTCAAATAGTGTAGTAATCTGATAAATGAAAATTATTGGAAGTCAAAAATAATAAATTATATTCCATCCTTCTGTACTAAAACTTGTGCCTTCAGTAAGCATCTCTTTACTTTCTTTCCCTTAAGAAAATTGAAATATTTAATGCTTGGCTAACTCATGGTTGTGTCAAGTGTTTGTAAGTTAATAATACATAA